TAGATGTGTCACAAGTTTTGGAAAGTGGTCACACTCGTTATTAGGTTTTTACATTTTTAACTTTATTTAATTAATAAAAGTAAAACATTCTCTTGTCTTTATTGCCGACCACTTTTAATTGTTTGACCGTGTACATCACTTTTAAAGAATTCGTCGATATTTTATAAAATAATTTCCAGAATTCACTTCACGCGTATTAATTTAGACGATTATAAGTATACAGACTACGACATTAAAAAATTAAAGGACAATGTTAAAATTGGCCTAAGAACCAACACCAATTTGGCATTTATGATAATTCTTAGTATATTTTTTGCGATAATTATCAGTATTTAGATTGTGACGGACACTTCTAGTTAAGTAAGCTAAATTAAAAAGTTAATAAATAATCTGAGACAATAAATACCATTTTATGTGTATAATCTATGACAGCGCTGCAAACAAAAAACACTTTCTTCCTAATGCCGGCACTTCACTTGGCTATTCGTATTTGCTATTTAAAAACATGACATCAGTCTGTCCTTTTCATTTCTTATTAAGCATGACAAGGACAAACTGTTGTCAAGTGAAGGGCCGGCATAAACTAGATACTCTGTGGTTGTGGTGCACGCAGTTTGCATTCGTAGTAATCTGTGGCATTCGTGCATTCTCGTCAAAGAGTACTTTTAGTATACGGAAAATTCTCGTTCGGTTTACCTGTTGTGTGTGTTTATTTGCGATTGTTTTTCCTTTAATTTAACTATTACTATTTCGGCTATCTAATATGCCATCGATGCAAAGAGCAGAGACCTTATTACCAACTGCTAGTGAACCTGTGCCACAACATCCTGAAAGGATCATACTGCCAAATTATTCAAGAGCACCTGATACACATTCACGCTGCATATTTACACAATATACATGTGTGAAACAAATTAATACAATATGATACAAATATGTGAAAAATAGTCAATAAATAATAAGAAGCAAAACTATTGTTTTTATTTTATTCATGATTCCTACCTTACCAAGATTTTCCTAATAGTTATTCTTTAAAATCGCACCGAATAAAATGAATTAGTTGTAATATTAATTCACTTCATACTGAGTTCATACTAATTTCATAGGGTTTATTTTTATGTTATATAAATATCGTATGGTGGCATACGAGCAGACGGCTCACCTGATGGTAAGTGATCACCGTCGCCCATGGACACTTGCAACACCAGGAGTATCACAAATGCGATGCCGGCCTTTAAGGAAGGAGTACGCTCTTTTTTGAAGATTTTTGGGTCGTATTGGTCCGGAAACACTGCTGGCGACAATATATTCCACAGTTTTGTCGTACGTGGTAAAAAATTTCGACAAAAACTCACGGTTGTGGATAGCCACGCATCAAGATGATGGGGATGAAATTTTTGTCGCGATGTACGATGGCGAAATGCCGCAGCTGGAATTAATCCGAACAATTCCTCAGAACACTCTCCGTGATAAATGCGATAGAAGATGCAGAGCGAAGCTACATCCCTACGCAAAGCTAAAGGATCAAGCTGATCGGAAGGGTCCTGGTCGTCGACGATTCGAGCCGCTCGGCGCTGGATGCGATCTAAAGGGAGAAGCTGGTACTGGGGTGCCCCCGCCCAAAGATGAGAGCAGTACTCCATGTGAGGCCGAACCTGTGCCTTATAAAGTTGCAGTCGGTGGGCCGGTGTGAAGTACATTCTCGATCTATTGAGCACACCAAGCTTCTTAGAGGCCAATTTGGCCTTGCCCTCTAAATGATCCCGAAACCGCACGTCGCTCGATATGTCAACGCCAAGAATTCCAATACTAGCTGAGGCAGTTAGAGGAGTGTTCTCAAAGAGAGGAGATACGACAAATGGTATTTTTTTTGCGGTGAACGCGCATACTTGTGTCTTCGTAGGGTTAAATTGGACTAGATTAAGTCGGCCCCAATTCGTTACTTGGTTTAACAAAGTTTCGACTTCAGACACAAGTTTGTTCCGGCTCTCGATGACGTTTTCCCGTGAAATGTTGGCGCGGCTGGTATATAGGGCATCACCCGTGCTGTCGTCTGCATAACAATAAATGCCATCAATTTGAAGCATATCATTGATATGAAGAAGAAACAGCGTAGGCGATAGCACACAGCCTTGCGGAACACCAGCGTTTACGGATTTGGAGTCCGAGCATGCACCGTCGACTGCGACCTTGATGCTCCTGTCCGCAAGAAAGCTAGTGATCCAAACGCACAGTTTTTCAGGAAGCCCATAAGAAGGAAGCTTCAAAAGAAGCGCTTTGTGCCAATCCCGATCGAAGGCCTTCGCGATATCTAGACCGACCGATGAGTCAGGTATACTAGTAGATCACCAGCCGAGCGATTCTGACGGAAACCGTACTGGTGGTCACTAATCAGCTGGTGGTCCTCTAGGTACCGCAGGAGCTGGCAATTTATAATGGACTCCATTATCTTGGAGAACAAGGAGGTGATGGCTATAGGCCTATAATTAGTAGGGAGTGAGCGGTCGCCTTTTTTTGGAATCGGGTGCACTAAAGCTGTCTTACATGAGTTCGGAACGACACCTAAAGAGTAGGAGAGCCGGAAAAGACGCGTTAGTACCGGAGCCAACTCAGGAGCACACGTCTTCAGCACAATTGGTGAGATTCCATCAGGCCCACTCGACTTGTGGATGACAAGGGAAAAGAGTGCTTTACGCACTAAGCTTTGTGTGAACCGGATCTCCGGCATAGAGCTCTCACACCGCGGGATGGTCGGCGGTATGTATCCCCTGTCATTTAGAGTCGAGTTAGACGCAAAGAGTGAGCATAAAAGATCCGCTTTCTCTTTTGCAGTATGGGCCATCGATTCGTTGCCATTGTGCAGGGGTGGAAGGGATGGCTTACAAAAATTTCCTTCAACAGCCTTAGCAAGAGACCAAAACGCGCGGGTTCCAGAGTTTTATTAATCTCTCGCCAATGCTGCTAATGTGCTCCGACTTCGCTCTGGCAATTACTCTTTTGCAGGACCTGGAGGCCAAGTTATACTTCTTTTTGAGATCGCTAGTGTTGTTATCCTAGACCGCCGCTGCGTTTGCCCAGGCCTGATAACACATCTGTTTTTGGTGAGATGCCAGTTTACATTTGTGACCAAACCAAGGCTGGGATTTGCCACCAATGGGAACCACAGAGAAAGGAACAAAAAGTTCCATACCCTGAAGGACAACATCGGCGACAGAATCGGCAGCGACGTTGGGATCACTCTGCGAGAAGCAAACCTGGCCCCAAGGGTAGGATGAAAAGAAAGTGCGCATCCCATCCCAGTCTGCTGACTTATAGTGCCACACACGACGACAGCCAGCAAATTGCGGCCGCGGTGAGTAAGTGAGTGGCAACATACTCCGGATTAGACAATGGTCCGAGGACCCAAGAGGGGCATCTATGGACACTTTGTAATTATCCGGATGTGAAGTCAGCAGAAGGTCCAAGAGTGAGGGTGTATGGTCTTTGACATCTAGGATTCGCGTAGGCGAGGTGACCAGTTGTGTCAGACCATAGGCCAAGGCGAAGTCGTGAGCAGATCTGCCTGCATGATCGGTAGTGGGCGATCCAAGCCATTCGGAGTGGTGGGCATTGAAATCACCAAGGATCACAATTTCAGATGATGGGATCTGCTGAAGCACGGAGTCTGTAGCCACCTGGACGTGATCATAGAGTCGGTCAATTTCGGCATTTCCGCTATGGGACCTGTAGAGGCAGGCGTAGACGCGGGGATGGTCATCGACGTCTACACGCAACCATAAGATGGAAAGGTCCCTACCTTCAAAGTTGCTGAGGCGACGGAAACTGATACCCTCTTTAACGTACACACATACCCCAGCCCGTGGTACAAAGGAATATTCCAAAGTATACCCAGGGTGCCGGAGGTAGGAGGTGTCGGCTGGAGAGGATATCTGGGTCTCAGTCAAAAAAAGCAAGGCCGGCTGCACTGTCTGAAGGTGGTAGTGAACAGCATTAAGGTTGGAGTGTAAGCCCCTGATGTTGCAGAAATCCACGTTAAACATGGCAGGGGGTATTGTATGACGCTTGCTGTGGCCTCGAGCAGTTTGAGTAATGAGCGCGGTTTCGCCCTCCCCAGAATACGAAGGGCAGCCTCGACGTCCTCGTCCAGAAGGAGACAGTTCTGGGCATGGACGTCCAGAGGGGGATTCTCCAGCGTGAAAACAGCTGGTACCCCCCTGGGGTATTGTCCAATTTAACTGCGCCATCATGAGGAAAGGGGGGGGGGGGGGCTGGGCCTCCGGTAGCCTCACTCACTCGGCGAAACACAGCACAAAGTGCTGCTTCACGCCGGTATTCTGTGAGGTCGTGGTATTCCGGTCGAGCCGGCCCATTCATGCAGTAGCCTAAGTAAGCTACTGCGTGGCTCTCCCACGATAGGTTATATATGACTGATTTCATAATAATAATAACATTTATTTTAGATTTTTACATCCATAATGGTTAATAACAATGATGCTTACAAATCTAGTGTTAGTAAATTGAATTCTTCAAAAAAAACATGTTAATAATAAATAAAAATAAAATGACGACTAAGAAGTTTAATGAATAAGTTTTATTTTTTTGTACAACAAACAAGTAAATCGGAACGTTAAGGTTAAATTATGCTTTTTTATTCATGAATTTTAATTTTACACATTATATTATTATAACAAACTAGCTGACCCAGCGAATTTCGTACCTCCATAAAAAATAGGCGTTAGTGGTAGAAGGGTGAAAATTTAGGGTTGTATATATTTTTGTATGATGTATCATAATAAAATAAAAACAAAATATTTTGTTCAAAAAAAATGAAGTGTGGACCACCCTTAACATTTGGGGGATGAAAAATAGATGTTGTCCGGTTCTCTGACCTACTAAACATGCATATAAAACTTCACGAAAATCGGCCCAGCCGTTTCCGAGTAGTTCAATTACGCATACCGTGACACGAGAATTTTATATATTACAATTATAATAACAACCTGCGACATTTTTCAGGAAATATATTTGTTAATTTAGCAATGATTTGGAGGAGGATTTTTTTCCCCAAGGCGATCTAATATGACTTCTTCGGCAATTATTCTATGAATATCAAGCATTACTCTCTCTTGCGTGTCAGGATTGGGCAGTTTTTTTATCTTGATTGCAATTAATTTTCCGAATCTGTCGTATTCATCATCACTGGATTGTCCTTGCTGTTTATTTTTTTTTATTTTTACTAATTTTGGCATTTTCACTTTTTCTTCAGCCTTGGTAGTAACATTCATCGACTTCATCGGTTTCTCGGCTTCTTCATTGATCTAAAACAAGTAAAAAAATGCTTGTCCTAAAATAAAACTTCTTCTTTTTGTCATGCCCTAGGTCATAAAACGGTATTCGGTAGGGCGCTTATTACCCAGGTCGGTGCCGTCTAAACTTGTTCACGAGCACACTGCACATTTGTACCGACCCCAAACCTTCACAAGCGCCGTCGTCGTTAACAAACCTCGATAATGTCCCATACTTCACTGACGATGGGACGTAGACGCGATTTCGAGACGTGCCTAGATCCGGGTAATAATCGTCTCGTTAACTAACGCCCTTGGTATTTGTGGCAGAAAATGCATTTCTACAAACATATGTGTATTTTATTGATTTAACAGAGTGACAGAATTCGACGATTATATGATTATAATGATTAAAACCAACACACACCAATTAGCACTGTAAGGCCTGTGTCATGGGATACTAGGGTAATGGATAGAATACATATACTGGACATATATAAGTATATTTATATAGAAATACATATTTAACATTCATGACTGGAGTACATATGCTTGTATTCATCACACTAACATCTGCCCCCCACCGGGTTTCGAACCCGGGACCTCTCGAGTCGGCAACACCGACCGACCGACCTCCGTGGCCGAGTGGTTTATACGCCGTACGGTACAACCACTCGGTCACGGAGGTCGTCAATATGCGCGTTAAATGTTCTTAAAAGAACTGGATTATATGAACTACACAGCGGTTGTCAATCTCTACTCCATTATTGTCAAAGGTAAAGTCATCTATGTCTGGAACATCTTCTATTATGTGGGTAGCCGTCTCTCTCGGTTTATGTTACATTAAGTAGAAGAAAGAGAAGCCTGGGATACCTCTTAGAGCAATTTTTGTGTTTCGTTCAAGGTGACTTTATAATTAAATAAATATCCGCATGGCCTATGTATCATATTAGACTTTATTATTTCGAACCACGCCTTAAGATTCATCCATATAAAACTTCGACACCCTCCCAATTCCCTTTTAGGGGATAGTTTAGGAAAACTAAAAATGACAAATATTATGATTTATTTAGATAAATGTGTCAAGTTTCAATTCTATTAACTCAAGGAATGAGATATATCATTCAAACTTTCATCCTCTATTTTAACCCCTCAGGGGGGTGAATTTTTGAAAAATTCTTTCTTAGTGCACCCCTATACCTCATAAGGAATTTACTTGCCAAATTTCTAGTCTCTAGACCTAGCGTTTTGGCTGTGCGTTGATATGTCAGTCAGTCAGTCGTTTCTTCTTTTATATATTTAGAATTTAAGATTTAAAAAAGGAGCTTAAAACATAAAATTATGAAGCAGGGAGTCAGTGCAGCATTAGTTCATATTATATTTTAAATTAAATTGTGCTTTTACGTGAAAAATAACAACAAGAAACCTTAATTCAAAAGCACTTTTTGAGGCACATTTCATTTTTGGGCAATAAAGGCGAAATGTGTCATTCTCCTTTATTTTTAAATTATTTCTTACATTAATTTTACACTGTGACATTAAAAAAAACTTTTTAACAAAGATTGTCAAATAATGAACAAAAAAAATATCAATTTGGTCCAGTCGTTCGGAAGTTATGCGAAAATTATGTACCGCAGGTACATATTATCTTCATAAAAATTCATTTTTATATCTATGTATAGATAAGGAAAAATAGTTTTATTTACTAACCTGTGTGGTTATCTGGCCAAGAAAACCATGCATTGTCGCAAAAGCATACCATTTTGGTTGGATATCCTCACTTGGTACAAGCTTCGATAACTGTTTACTTTCAATTAGATACTTGTTATAACAACGAATAAGTTTTCTCATTTTAAAATCTAGTTCCTTCACTGTATCAGGCCAACCAAAATTATTTTTAATTCTCACCCATGCGGCGAAACGCAATTGGTAGTTCCTGTAATATTGATGTTCTGGGTTCCACAAAACTGGTTCAGTTTTAAAACTTTCTATGAATTTCAATGTACTAGCATAGTTCCAGTTCGATTTTTTACATTCTGAATTATTAAGTGAATCCATAATTATTTAATGAATTGACAATCAGGCACTAAGCAAATAAAGAAATGAGTGCAAAACTATTGACGTCTCGATATCAACAAACTGCGCGAAGCGTTGATATCAGGAGGACAGATAAACGAATTTAAATATGACTTTCGATTATACCCAAATGATAACAAATAATTACTTTTCTTTGTTTCATTTTATTCAAGCGAGTATTGTTGAAGTTATGACAGTTTTCGTTTTCTGTCTTTTTACCACACACCGTTTTCACAATCATTGCTTTGCTAAGGGATATTTCTTAAGTTTGACTAAAATAATGTATTATGCCTTATTTTTTAATGTGAATCAGCGTTATAATAGTGTCGTATTATATTGAGTTCGAGATGGCGCTGACTTGCAGCTTAAGAAAGGTTAGAGAAAATTTGACACGGCCATCAGGGCCGCGGTAGCATAATGGTCAGTACATTCGCCCGGATAGCGAAGGGTTCGAGTCTCGTCTGCTGCCTAGTCCGCGTAGAATTTTTTCTAACTATTCTTTCTTTAGTTTTATATCTCACTTCTTTTCCGCCGAGATGCAAAGGAGTAAATATGCAAAAGTAACTGACGACCTACGTGGTAGATTGGTTCGAACACTGGTTTTTAAGGTGTCATCCACTCTTGTTGCTGTCTTGTCCATTCACCTGAGTTACGGCGAGTTACTTTTCGGACGGTAGAGTATTAAAAAATCCGTCACAATGATGATGAATCGTGATGGCGACGGCTGTGGACTTGGTTAAAAGATTTGTTTAATAGTTTGACGGAATCGGGGGCTTGGGCCTTGACCCCACTACCCGGCCCCAGTGCGGATTGTTGGGTAGGATACTTTTTTCGATGGAATAGGGAGATTTTGAGATGACTAGGGGAGGGCACTGGGCCGATTCTGTTCTGGTGTCCAGTGCGAAGTGGTGAGTAGGATAATTTTTGATGGTAAAGGGAGATTGGGCCATGTTTCGCCACGCGGGTCCAGTACAGATTGGTAGATGGTCAGTATATAAATATTTTTAACTTCCTTCCAACCGAGTGTTACACTGCACTGACACCGCTCCTACTGGTCGAAGTGTGATATAAATAGCCTTCCTTGATAAAAGCACTATTCAACAAAAGAAGAATCTTTCAAATCGGACCAGAAGTTTCTGAGTTAAGCACTTTCAAACAAACCAACACGTTTAACCAAACCACCACACAAACAAAACAGAAAGTTTTAAAGAATGAGATTACGAAACGATTTATATGCCTAATATATATTAATTCCTTGAGTGTTCATTCCTAAATATAATTGATAATTAATATTATTGACTATAAATTAGCAATTAATATTTTTTTTATGTTATAGGTGGAATACGAGCAGACGGCTCACCTGATGGTAAGTGATCACCGTCGCCCATGGACACTTGCAACACCAGGAGTATCACAAATGCGATGCCGGCCTTTAAGGAAGGAGTATGCTCTTTTTTTGAAGGTTTTTGGGTCGTATTGGTCCGGAAACACTGCTGGCGACAATATATTCCACAGTTTTGTCGTACGTGGTAAAAAATTTCGACAAAAACGCACGGTTGTGGATAGCCACGCATCAAGATGATGGGGATGAAATTTTTGTCGCGATGTACGATGGCGAAATGCAGCAGCTGGAATTAATCCGAACAATTCCTCAGAACACTCTCCGTGATAAATGCGATAGAAGATGCAGAGCGAAGCTACATCCCTACGCAAAGCCAAACGATCAAGCTGATCGGAAGGGTCCTGGTCGTCGACGATTCGAGCCGCTCGGCGCTGGATGCCATCTAAAGGGAGAAGCTGGTACTGGGGTGCCCCCGCCCAAAGATGAGAGCAGTACTCCATGTGAGGCCGAACCTGTGCCTTATAAAGTTGCAGTCGGTGGGCCGGTGTGAAGTACATTCTCGATCTATTGAGCACACCAAGCTTCTTAGAGGCCAATTTGGCCTTGCCCTCTAAATGATCCCGAAACCGCACGTCGCTCGATATGTCAACGCCAAGAATTCCAATACTAGCTGAGGCAGTTAGAGGAGTGTTCTCAAAGAGAGGAGATACGACAAATGGTATTTTTTTTGCGGTGAACGCGCATACTTGTGTCTTCGTAGGGTTAAATTGGACTAGATTAAGTCGGCCCCAATTCGTTACTTGGTTTAACAAAGTTTCGACTTCAGACACAAGTTTGTTCCGGCTCTCGATGACGTTTTCCCGTGAAATGTTGGCGCGGCCGGTATATAAGGCATCACCCGTGCTGTCGTCTGCATAACAATGAATGCCATCAATTTGAAACATATCATTGATATGAAGAAGAAACAGCGTAGGCGATAGCACACAGCCTTGCGGAACACCAGCGTTTACGGATTTGGAGTCCGAGCATGCACCGTCGACTGCGACCTTGATGCTCCTGTCCGCAAGAAAGCTAGTGATCCCAACGCACAGTTTTTTAGGAAGCCCATAAGATGGAAGCTTCGAAAGAAGCGCTTTGTGCCAAACCCGATCGAAGGCCTTCGCGATATCCAGACCGACCGCCAATGCTTCCCCCTTGGTCTCGATCGCCTTTGCCCAACGATGAGTCAGATATACTAGTAGATCACCAGCCGAGCGATTCTGACGGAAACCGTACTGGTGGTCACTAATCAGCTGGTGGTCCTCTAGGTACCGCAGGAGCTGCAAATTTATAATGGACTCCATTATCTTGGAGAACAAGGAGGTGATGGCTATAGGCCTATAATTAGTAGGGAGTGAGCGGTCGCCTTTTTTAGGAATCGGGTGCACTAGGTTGACCTATGTTTCATTGAATATTAAACATAACCTCAAAAAAAATAGTTTTCCTAATAATTTAAGTTCTCAGAAGTGTCCGTCAATAATCTTTGTTTTTACAGTCATTTACTTGCTATTTCAAACCTAGAAAATAATATTTCATGATTGTTGGTTCTTAGGCTAACTATGTATGGACGCAGAACAATGTCATTTCATTGAATTAACTGAAATAGTCCTTACAACGTAAATATCATTAGGTGACCATTTTTTGCAAAAGACTGTATTAAATTTTTATGTTGATATTATAAAGTACAGAAGTTATGTTTTGCTTTAAAGGTAGTATTAAACTTCAACCTCACAACCGCAGAATAAAATTGACAAGCAATAAAGGATTATCTCAAGCAAATCGGGGGCTATAAAGTATCATTTTAAAATAATTTCGTTAAAAATAACATATTAAATAAAATTGAACAGGCCAGAGAGGGTATTATTTTCTAAGATTATTTTAAATAAAACTTCAAACTTGTCAGGGACGACTGGACGGGTCATAAATAACATGGGACTGTCTTGTCTGTCTCGAAAATGACGTTCATGAACAGTCAAGAAAGACATGTGTTGATATAATTTAAAAACTATTTAGAATTCAAACACAATTACCTTGCTAGTTTATAGAGAAAAAAGTAGTTTTCGAAACGCAAATAAAAAAAACGACGGGTTGCACTCCGGGAGTGCCGGCAGAAGAATTAAAGTTCTGCATTTTTGATATTTTGGAATGGTTAGGGAATAATTTTGCACGAATTGCTTTAATTATCAGTATAAAAGTACTATCATATATGTGGTAGAAAACAATATTTATTTATTGCGCTGTCGTACACAAACATGACAATTTATATTACATTAAAAAAGTTTATCTCTTAGAAAAATCAACTTACATGAATCACGTTTTAGCGCACTTAGCGACATTGATTGTAAAGAAAACGATTCGTTAAACACACCTATTTCACTCAATAAAATGGTATCCATTTTAGATCCAAATCTTTTTAAACAGAATTAGGTAGCCAATAACACCACACACCTTAAAGTAGACGAAAAAAGTATACTAAAATAAGAGTAGTCTACGTATTAAATTATATGGGTCCCTTACTGATTCAGAACCCTAAAAAGATTTAAATCTCAAAAAAGGCAGTACTGCTCGTTTACGCTTATTTAACATTGAAAGTTCCTTGTACACTTATGACTATTTACTTGCAAGGAACAAATAACGACTCTCAAAATAAGGACAGACGGAAAAACAAACCTGTGTTAAGTGTATTGTAGCTTATTTACCTATAACATATAGGGCTATAGTGTACATTTCATTTACTCATCAAAATTACTTCAAACATGTACCTACCTGCCTACAGCTGAAGCCACCAGAATCGATACACTATAAACTATCTTATGTAATTATTTGTCACGAGCTGACCCGGCGAACTTCGTGGCGCTTACTTAAAATTTGGAAGAAATAAAAGCTATCTGTTCAACAGGAACACAGCTTTTACCTTAGTTAGGAATATCATTATTTGGAGAATCTCCTGTAAATTTTTGACTTTTTACTATAAATAAAAAATATTATTACTATAAAATATATCAAAAATAGGGACATATAAAAAAAACACTGAATGTATTTTTAATTTAAATTCTTGGTGACATGTATTTTTTTGTTTGTATTATTGTTATTATTATATTTTGAATTGAAATCCTTTTAAGTTCATATTGACATAGGTATGTGAATTTTGATAGCCTCTCTAATATTTTCACGTTGATGTTCAACAGAATATGCTAGAAATAGGGATGGCGATGTGAGATCGATTAATCGAAAAATCGATTTTTTGAGCTAAAAATATCGATTTTATAAATCGATATCTAGTACTGAATCGATTCACTGAATCGATATTTCACTCTTGAAAATCGACATTCGATGTGATTTATTTTTTTTGGTATTAACCAAAAAAGGTATTTACAATTATTTGAATGTACCCGTTATAAGAGTGCTGGCGCCGGTTAAAGGGTTAATTATTAAAAAAAACGCGATATGGCTGTATGTTTGGATTCCTTCGCCTCTCTTTAATAAAAAAAGTTATGTTTGTTCGTAATCTTTGAATAAAAATATTTTTATCTTCGAATTTCCTGATTTTACTGATAAGAGATCGTTAAATTTTAATATACCTAGTCAGGTCATAAATTCTGTCATATGTTTAATATAAAATAATTGAAACAAGTTTATTCATTATGACATAATGAATAAACTTGTTTCAATGTAACCATTTATATACCAAAATAAACTTAACAAAACA